GAATACACATTCTTTTCAAGTGCACATGCAACATTCTCAGAATAAATCACATACTAGGTCATGAAACAGGCCTCATCAAATACAAAAAGGCTGAAATCATACCATGTGCCTTTACCGATAGCAATGCTATGAAACAACAAGTCAACCACAAGAAAAAATTTGGAAAGACCACAAATAAATGGAGGTTAAACAACATTCTACTAAACAATGAATGGGATAACCAGGAAACCAAATAACAAACAAATGAGATTGAAAACATGACAGTACAAAGCTTTGGGATGCAGGAAAAGTGGTTCAAAGAGGGAAGTATATAGCAATACAGATCTACCTCAAGAATCGAGAAAAGTCTCAAAAAACAACCTAACCTTACACCTAAAGGAGCTACAGAAAGAATAACAAAGCTTAAAGCCAGCAAAGATAGGAAATAATAAAGATTAGAGCAAAAATAAATGATAAACTAAAAAAACAACAGAGCAGATCAATGAAACCAGGACCTGGTACTTTGAAAAAATTAATAAAATTTGGGGCGCCTGGGTGGCTCAGCTGGTTAAGCATCTGCCTTCTGCTCAGGTCATGATCCTGGAGTCCCAGGATAGAGCTCCATGTCAGGCTCCCTGCTCAGTGGGGCAGTCTGCTTCTCCCTCTCCCTCTGCTCCTCCCCCCACTCATGCTCGTGCTCTCTCTCTGCATCTCTCTCTCAAATAAATAAAATTTTTAAAAAATTAATAAAATTGATAACCTCTATCCAGACTTATCAAAAGGGGAAAGGACCCAAATAAATGAAATCACAAATGAGACAGGAGAAATAACCAACACCACAGAAATACAAATAATTATAAGAGAATATGATGAAAAGCTATATGCCAACAAACTGGACAACCTGGAAGAAATGCACAAATTCCTAGAAACATATAAACTATCACAACTGAAACAGAAGAAACAGAAACAGAAAACTTGAACAGACTGATAACCAGCAAAGCAATTGAATCAGTAATCCAAAAACGTCCAACAAACAAAAGTCCAGGGCCAGATGGCTTCACAGGGTAATTTTACCAGACTTTTAAAGAAGAGTTAATACCTATTCTTCTCAAACTATTCCAAAAAACAAAAAAGGAACAAATTCATTCTATGAGGCCAGCATTACCCTCATTCCAAAACCAGTTAAGGCCTCCACTAAAAAAAGAGGACTACAGGCCAAGATGCCTGATGAACATTAAAAAACTCTCAATAAAATACTAGCATACTGAATCCAACAATACATTTAAAAAGTCATTCACCATGATCAAGTGGGATTTATTCCTGGGCTGCAAGGGTGGTTCAATATTCACAAATAAATCAAGGTGATATACCACATTAACAAAAGAAAGGATAAGAACCTATATGATCTTTTCAATAGATCCAGAAAAAGCAGTTGACAAAGTACAACATCCATTCATGATAAAAACCCTCAACAAAGGTTTAGAGGGAACAAACCTCAACATAATAAAGGCCATGTATGAAAAATCCATAGCTAATATCATCCTCAGTGGGGAAAAACTGAGAGCTTTTCCTCTATAGTCAGGAACAGGACAGGGATGTCCAGTCTCACCACTGCTATTGAACATAGTACTGAAAGTCCTATCCTTAGCAATCAGAACATAAAAAGAAATAAAAGCATCCAAATCAGCAAGGAAGAAGTCAAACTTTCACTATTCGCAGATGACATGATTCTCATGATTTCTACACGAAAACCCAAACAGGGCGCCTAGGTGGCTCAGTCGTTAAGCGTCTGCCTTTAGCTCAGGTCATGATCCCAGGGTCCTGGGATCGAGTCCCACATCGGGCTCCCTGCTCAATGGGGAGCCTGCTTCTCCCTCTCCCACTCTCCCTGCTTGGGTTCCCTCTCTGTCTCTCTCTCTCTAATTAATTAATTAATTAATTAATTAATAAAAAGAAAACCTGAACAACTCCACCAGAAAATTGCTGGAATTGATAAACAATTTCTGTAAAGTCACAGGATACAAAATCAATGTACAGAAACCTGTTGCATTACTATATACCAATAATGAGGAAGCAGAAAGATAAATTAAGAAAACAATCCCATTTACAATTGCACCAAAAACTACCTAGGAAACATCCTAGCCAAAGAGGTAAAAGACCTGTATTCTGAAAACTATAAAACACTGATGGAAGAAATTGAAGATGACACAAAGAATGGAAAGACATTCCACGCTCATGAATTGGGAGGACCAATATTATTCAAATGTCTGTACTACCCAAACTGACCTATACATTTAATGCCATCCCTATCAAAATACCACCAGCATTTTTCACTGAGCTAGAACAAACAATCCTAAAACTGTATGGAACCACAAAAGACCCAGAATAGCCAAAGATACCTTGAAAAAGAAATGAAAAGCTGGAGGCATCATAATTCCAGACTCCAAGTTGTATTACAAAGCTGTAGTGATCAAAATAGTATGGTACTGGCACAAAAATAAATACATAGATCAATGGAACAGAAAAGAAAAAAAACCCAGAAATGAACCTACAACTATATGGTCAATTAAACTTCAACAAAGCCGGAAAGAATATCAAATGGAAAAAAGACAGTCTCCTCAACAACTGGTGTTGGGAAAAGTGGACAGCCACATGCAAAAGAATGAAACTGGACCACTTTCTTACACCATACACAAAAATAAATTCAAAATGGATGAAAGACCTAAATGTGAAACAGGAAACCATCAAAATCCTAGAGGAGAACACAGGCAGTAACCTCTCTGACATCAGCCATAACAACTTCTTTCTAGTTATGTCTTCTGAGGCAAGGAAAACAAAAGCAAAAATAAACTATTGGGACTTCATCAAAATAAAAAGCTTCTTCACAGCAAAGGAAACATCAACAAAACTAAACAGCAACCTACAAAATGGGAGAAAATATTTGCAAATGACGTATCTTATAAAACTCAACACCCCAAAACCAAATAATCCAATTTAAAAATGGGCAGAAGACATGAACAGTCATTTTTCCAAATAAGATATACGGATGGGCAACAGACACATGAAAAGAAACAACAGGTGTTGGCGAGGATGTGGAGAAAAGGAACCCTTCTACCCTTCCCTATTGGTGGGAATGAAAACTGGTTGCAGCCACTCTGGAAAACAGTATGGAGGTTCCTCAAAAAGTTAAAAATAGAACTACCCTAGGATCCAGCAATTGCACCACTAGGTATTTACCCAAAGAACAGAAAATACTAATTTGAAGGGATATATGCACCCTTATGTTTAACAGCATTACTTACCATACACCAGATACTGAAATAGACCAAGTGTCCATTGATTGATGAATGGATAAAGAAGATGTGGTATATATACAATGGAATATTATTCAACCATAAAAAAGAATGAAAACTTGCCATTTATAATGATGTGGATAGAGCTAGAGAGTATTATGCTAAGTCACAGAAAGATAAATACCATATGATTTCACTCATATGTGGAATTTAAGAAACAAAACAAATGAGCAGAAGGGTAAAAAAGGAGAGGCAAACCAAGAAACCAGACTCTTAACTATAGAGAACAAACTGATGTTACCAGGGGGAAGGTGGATGGGGGATGGGTTAAATAGGTGACAGGGATTAAGGAGTATACTTGTGATGAGCACCAGGTATTGTATTGGAAGTGTTGAATCACTATATTGTATACCTGAAACTAATATTACACTGTATGCTAACTGATTGGATTTAAATTAAAACTGAAAAAAAGTATCAGTATAATTATTTGCCTTATTAATAAGTAAAATACATTGATCCTAAATGAATCTCTTTTTTTATTTAAAGATTTATTATTCTTAAGCAATCTGTACACCCAACGTGGGGGCTCGAACTCACAACCCCAAGTCCAATAGTCACAGCTCCACCCACTGAGCCAGCCTATCACCCCTAAATCTCTTTGTAAATGGTCATCACCCTATCAATATTCTTTGTCCAGGAGGGTAAAGGCATATATGTGTGAATGTATGTATGAACATGAGATGAAAGTGAACCACTAACGTTTTTTATTTGTTTATTTATTGATTGATTTTTTTAAGTAGGCTCCATAGCGTGGAGTTCAATGCAGAGCTGTTCTGAACTCAGGACTCTGAGGTGAAGACCTAAGCTAAGATCAACAGTCGGACACTTAACGGACTGAGCCACCCAGGTGTCCTCCCACTGATATTTTTTAAACAAAATCCCATTATCTGCCTGTTTTATCACCATTTCCTTCTTTATCCTAAAATCTAACAGCAGAGAGAACACTTTCTGTTCCATGCAAAAGACAATTTTTTCAAAAAATCTGTTGTTGAGGTGTATTTTAATTTTTCCTTTCTGTGCAGAACAGATCGAAACAATCTGATGCTATAAAAAAAACCCAAGGATGTTTCTTTGTTTTACTGAAGTATAACTAACAGAGTGTTATATTCGTTTCAGGTGTAAAACACGGTGATTCCACAATTCTATACATTACTCAGTAGTCACCACAATAAGTGTAGTCATCATCTATCACCAAATGACGTTTTTACAATCTTATTGACTATATTCTCTATGCTGTACTTTTCATCTCCATGACTTTTTTATTTTGTTACTGGAAGTTTGTACTTCTTGAATCCCTTTATCTATTTCGTCCATCCCCCTACCCACCTCCCCTCTGGCAACCTCCCGGGGGAAAAAAAAAAAGAAAGAAATACATAGGACTCTTAATGTGAGAAAAGCATTTTTGTTTTATCTGGTATCTTCTGTGAATTGCCACTAAATCAAAGCAATTTAATTATACTTTATTTTTTACTAAGTATAAATAATACCATTATTTTCTTTTTTACTTCTAATTCTCCATTATAATGTGATCTGTATATCATAAAAAAAATAAAGAGCAAATAATTAAGTAAAAGCAGGAATACTGAAGCAAATGTCTAGATTTCAAAATGTGAATCGAAGCTCTAAAAAATTCATTAAGTTAATTTCCAAAGGAGAAACCTCTCATACCTTGTTTGCTAGGTTTATAGCACTGAGAGCCTTATCATAATATTCTTTGTCATCCCAATCCAAATAAGCAGTGGCTAGTAACCGCAGAACTTTAGCCTATAATTAAAAATAGAAAAAGCACTCAGGTGAGGGTTAAATTGCAGTTAACAGCTGACCAGCACTTACACAGTGAAAGGCATCTTCTCAAACTTAAGCTATTTTTATGAAATAGCATTTCCTTAGGTAGCCACATAGTCTTGGGATATGTCTCATCATTATGCTACCCACATCAAACACTAAGAATTTTATAACAACTGTGTTAATATATTTTTAACAGTGTTTTAGCATTGAAGTTCTTTATTATCCCCACTCTACAAATAAAGTAAACAATAGCACAGCACTATTTAATTTAATCATCTTACAACCTACTGTATAGGTAGCATTGCATTAGGACTCCATCAAAAAAGATAAATAGAAAGACATAATTGCTCTCTCAAAGACTTTACAGCCTAGTTGCAATTAACCAATTAGACCAAGAGCACATATACCATCATTTTATAGGAACAGATATGCTTTCCTATAGAGGTTTCTCCCAACTCAGCTAAGTTTTAAAATTAATATGTATTGCTGAATTAAGTCTGTTTCTCCAGCCAGGTTTATATTGATAAGGGGAGTAACTCTAAACAGCATTTATTTAACTACAGATTTAGATTTTGAAAAGAAGAGCTCTATTTCAATGAAGAATCTGCCTCTAAATATAATGAGGAGAGTAGGACCAGGCAAAGATAATCTTAACATATTAGAGCTCTGTAAATCCAGAGAAACGATACTTAGGGTGTTCTATTTCTGAGTTTTTTAATTCAAAAACTAAGATGGATCAAATAAGATGTGTACAATATACTTAATATCATTACTATTATTATGGAACAACTCTCAACTTATAAACTTCCCCAGAGGACTTTTATGGAGTAAATATGGCATCTCTGAGAAAAACTCTATTTTGTAATAGTAAAAGGGTCAAATAATCAGAAAGATCTAACAAAATGAATGAATCTCAAAACCATTATGTTAAACAAAAGAAGCCATACGTAAAACAGTAGATACTATATGATTCTGTTTATACAAAGTCCAAGAAAAAACAAAAATAATCTACAGCCACAGAAGTCAGAATAGTGGTTTTATCTTGGGGGTATGAATGGCAATCAACCAGAAAGGGCCAAGGGAACTTTTGGGGGTCATGGAAATTTCTGTATCTTGATCTACGTGGTTGTTACAAGATTATCTAGATATATTAAAATTCATCAGGCTGTACACTTAAGATTTGTGCAATTTAATATATATAAACTATACCTCAATAAGGTACTGCTAGCACAAAAGAAAAACTACTTCATAAACTACTTCATAATCTTACCTCTCCATAATTCACAATAGAAATATTACATTTTAATCACACGGTTAACTCCTATACTCTTCTTCCTTACCTTCTCCTCCATCTAGATCCCTTGCCTGGTATCCCCTTCTCCCTCCATTTTCACTGTATGGATCCCATCTACTTTTCAAGGCCATCCTACCAGAAGGCTTCTTCAACTTCTCTAGCCAACCCTGACATTCCCCTTTACTGTACCACACAGTTTATCACTTATTTTTCCCAAATCACTTATACTAGTTTTTAAAATCTATTTTTGAAACTTTAACTGAAGTATACATTAAAAAAGTTCAAAAATCTCAAGAGCACAGCTCTGATCTTCACAAAGTGAACACATGTATGTTAACAACACAGAAATCAAGAAACAGAACATTAACAGCAACAGGTTCACCTGAAGACTCTCTTCAGACACTATTCCAAACAAGAGTAACCAATTACCTGTCTTCCAACACCATGTACATTAGGTCTACTTGCTTTGGCATTTATATTTATAGAGTCATACAGTATGTACTACTTTATAAATTGTTTTGTTTACTCAACATTATATGTGAGAACATCCATACTGTTGCAATTACTGTAGCTCATTTATTCTCATTCCTATATAACATGCCATGATGTGACACTATAACAATGTTTTTATTATTTTTAATTGTGTTAAAATACACATAAAATTGACCCTCTTAATCATTTTTAAGTGTATGGTTCAGTAGTATTAAGTACATTCACACTGTTGTGCAACCATTACCATCATATATCTCCATAACTCTTAATCTTGCAAAATTGAAACTCTGTGCCCATTAAACAATAGCTCCCCCAAAGTTCTCCTCCCTCCAAACTCCTGCAACCACCATTTTACTTTATGTCTCTATAAATTTTACTACTCAAGATAACCTCATTTAAGTGGAATCATACAGTATTTGTCTTTTTGTGAATGGCTTATTTCACTTAGAATAATATCCTCAAGGTTCATCTATGTTGTAGCATGTGTCAAAATTTCCTTCTGTTTCAAGGCTGAATATTATTCCATTATATTCACTTGTATTAGTTTTATCCTCCAAACATAAGCTTGTTAAGAGTAGAAGTCATGTTTTATACTTCTCTGTTATTCCCCACCTATCACATTGCTATATATATATAGGTATTTAGTTATATTTTGATTAAGACACTGTAAAGGTAAGAAGCAAAGATGGATTTTCAAACAAAATTCCATTTTGCTATGGCATATATTAAATTACTTTTACATTGGATTTATTTACCTAATCATATTTTACTTGATTAAATATTAAAATTAACTTTCATACCAAGCACACTCTATATGGTTAGGGAAAAACCTAAAAATTTTAACATGCAATAATAAAATCTAAAATTTACATAGCTCAACACTGTTCCAAGCATTTCCATATATTAACTCTTGGGTACAAGAATCTACCTGCATTGTAGATTATACTAGTATATCAATTTTACAGAAACTAATACACGGAGATATTAATGATGTGCCCAAAGGATAATTTTACTCACAAAGTGGGGACAGACTATTATAGTTTAATAACAATAACACAAAATATATTTCTTCAACCTACTTCTACAATATTTAACATGATCCTTACCAGCATTTCTGGTCCAACAGAACTCTTATCCATCTTCCCGATATCATAGCTCTGGCTATCATTAAAAAAGGAAAAAGAATACATATTCATTTCAAATTATATTTTTAAGATTATGTATCACTAAGAAGACATGGTATAATTATACTTTATTCCAACTTTTCTGTTTTGCACTACAACACATTATTAGTCTATTAATATATGAATATCAAATATATAAAGCAACTCTTTCAAACAGTAGACAACCACAATTTCCTCAGGATGTACTGCCAACAAATTAACACTATATTATTATTCTTTTCCATTTGGATATATGTGGTATATAGTGCTTTGTGTATACTATATATATATATATATAGCATTTTACTGCATTTAAAACTAGTTTACGTGTATATACGACCTTTTAATGAGCACATTTTAAAGTCTAGAAATACGAATATATTTGTAAAATAAAACAAATACAGGAGTTTTTACAGAAACAAACGCTTTAGCAATATTTATTAAGCTTCACAACACCCTTGTGAGGCACTATTAGTTCTATTTTACAGCTGAATTAAGCAATTTAGCAGTTAAGTGATTTCTAATATATCCTAGATTGGTACTGAAAATGAGAGTGAGGGGTTGGGGAGTAGAGAAATTTGATTTTCAGTCTATGCTTTAATTAGCAAACCATATTATCCATGGGACATTCTGATAACCACAAATAATATTATCAGCATGAGCCTCAGGGTTTCAAAACCTAAAACGCAAAACAAAGATTATTCACCATAAGATTGGTATTCCAAGGAAAGATGTCAATAAAATTTTGGTGAACTGAACTAAACTGAAGACGGTACTTTGAAATATTCCTTTTAAAAAACTCTAAAAGACTCAGAACTGCCAAACTGAGTTTTCAGATCACTAGCAAGGATGTAACACTGGCCTAGTGATCCTAAGCCCTATCTCACAGAGGTCTCCTTTGGTACATTAAACCTACTTCCAGTTTTTAAAATAACCAATGAGGATGAAACTTCTGCAATGGTGGTATAATCTTGGACCCTCTCCCCAATGAAACAACCAATTGCCTGGAAAAATCATTACAACAGACAACCAGGTAAAGTCTTTGGAAATTTTCCCAAGGGCATATGGCAAATGGAAAAACATTTATTTAAAACAACAACAAGAACAACCAAATCTCAGTGAGAACGGTGAGAGTCTATGGCATTTGAGTCACAATCTGCCCCTGTCCACACCAGCTCCCCATGATGAAAACTACTCCGGATGGGTGCTGTCAAGAAGGGAGTAATTCCCTTTCCATGCAGCTCCTAGACTCTTAGGTCATGGTTTCACCTAGCAGAGGCAGGCTGCCGGCCTCTCTTATCCTCCCCAGGCCTGTGTTGTGGAAGTGCAATTCTGGGCAGGCACAATTAGAGGACTGGGTCTTCCTTTCCCCACTCAGTTCTCACTCTTTTTTTTTTTTTTTTTTTTAAGATTTTATTTATTTATTTGACAGAGAGATAGAGAGCACAAGTAGGCAGAGCAGCAGGCAGAGGGAGAATCAGGCTCCCGTGGGGCTCGATCCCAGGACCCTGGGATCATGACCTGAGCCGAAGGCAGTCGCTTAACCAACTGAGCCACCCAGGCACACCTCAGTTCTCACTCTTACGGTAAGGGCTCTACCTCAGGCGTGACAGGTCAAGAATACTGGGACCCTGATGATCTTCACCCAGACTGTCTCATTAAGCAGTGGTTCCATGCCAGGAGCGCCTGCTAAGAAGATCAGAGGCGACCAGTCCCCCCCCAACACCCACTCTCACGCCAAGAGAAGCAGGCCATGCTCTTGCCACCAACTCCAGTAGTGTGGCACAAAGGTCCGCCCCAGCGGGGAAGAAACAGGCAATAAAGAAAACAGAGCTCAGCATCTCTACCTGAGAGGACTGACTTATTTGGAATGGAGCAAGAAGTTCCTGCCCAAGGCACTGTCAAAAACAAGGGAGATCTTGGTGGTGAGCAATTAAGAGGGGGGTGGTAGCTCTGTGATAATAATATCAACAAGTGAAATAGCAGACCAGCAAGAATTTTAACACAGAGAACCAGGGAAAGAGGCAGCCAAGAAGAATAATCCGGGAGGTCACACTCACCCCTGGAGATACAGAAGGCTACGCATATTCGCTAGGCTGCACCCACCCAGGAGGGATCAGAAGGAGAGACGTGGAGCAGACTAGAAAGCATTCCTCAAGGCACACACAAATACATCAGCCAAGAATCCAGAGCCTCAGTGGCTCAAGGGGCTTAAGCAGAACCTCTTACCAAACACTGAAAATGTAGCTACTCTGATCCAAGGTAATGGTAAGGAAGCCAAGCTTAAAAATCAAATCACACTTCCAGTTTTCAGTTCCACATGTAAGGAATTTGGAAGTCACTACTTCGTCCTAACAAGTAAAAAGCTGAAAAGACTAAAAAATCAACAACTGTACTTGGATCCATAAAAGAGGGGAGGACAAAGGGCAAACCACTGTCTCTCCACCCAGCCCCCCCAATGGAGAGATGGACAGGCAAAATACAAGGAATTGTGGCTTACCACAGGAGGGACTCACCAGTGGAAACTGCCAGGGGAAGCAGTGCTGAGGCAGGAAATTATGAACTATAATTGACAGGTTGCTGGAGGCTCGTTGTGAACGAGTCTGAGAATTTAAAACTCCGGGACAACATAGTCTTAGGGGCATACCCACCATATTGTCAGATTTATCTCCAGAAGCTCAAGATTCCCACAGTAAATATCAGAGAAAATCCTCTTGGGCTTTGTCAGGAATTAATGATAAGGAACCAATCTGTTCTTCTTAATAAGGCCTGTCTTCAGGGGAAACTAGTTAACTAGAGCCCACCTCCTGGGGTATTATCAGAGCCCAACTTACCTGGGGAAGAGATATACTCAACCCTAGACTACTCTAGCCATGGTATACCACACCTAAGGGTGGAGGAAAAAACTGCAAACACTTGTGAAGTTCACAGTTCAAAGGCATACATACACTCACCAAAAGACTAAGAACTAAACGTAGGACTAACCCAACACCTAACCACCACATTACTAAAGGTCTATTTATAGCAGTTCCTTTTACCCAGTACAACATGTCAAGCTATCAAGAAAAAGTTACACGGGGGCGCCTGGGTGGCTCAGTCGTTAAGCGTCTGCCTTCGGCTCAGGTCATGATCCCAGGGTCCCTGCTCGGCAGGAAGCCTGCTTCTCCCTCTCCCACTCCCCCTGCTTGTGTTCCTGCTCTCGCTATCTCTCTCTCTGTCAAATAAATAAATCTCTTTTTTTTAAAGATTTTATTTATTTATTTGAGAGAGAGAGTGAGAGAGAGAGAGAGAGCACAAGACGGGGGAGCGGGAGAGGGAGAAGCAGACTCCCTGCGGAGCAGGTAGCCCGATGCGGGACTCAATCCCAGGACTCCAGGATCATGACCTGAGCCGAAGGCAGTCGCTTAAACAACTGAGCCACCCAGGCGCCCTAAATAAATCTTTAAAAAAAGAAAAGAAAAAGAAAAAATTACATGGAATACCAAAAAGCAAAAAAACACAATTTGAAGAGACAGAGCAAGCACTGGAACCAGACATGGCAAGGATATTAGAATTATTAGTTCAGGAATAAAAAATAAGACACAAGGGCAATGTAAGCAGAGAGATGGAAATTCTAAGAAAGAACCAAAAAGAAATGCTGGAAATAAAAAAGACTGTAAATGACATGAAGAATGTCTTTGATGGGCTTTTTAATAAACTGGACACGGCTGAGGAAACAATCTATGAGTAGAGGATATATCAGCAGAATCCTTGAAAACAGAAAAGCAAAGAGAAGAAAGATTGAAAAAAAAAAAAAACAAACAGATTATCCAAGGATTATAGGACACCTACAAAAGGTATGATGTAAGTATAATGGGAATACAATAAGGAGAAAAAACAAAGAAACACAAGAAATATTTGAAACAATAATGACAGAATTTCCCCCAAATTAATGTCTGATACCAAACCACAAATCCAGGAATCTCAGAGAACACCAAGCAGTATAAATACCAAAAAAATTACAACTATGCATTCCAAATTACAGAAAAACAAAGATAAAGAAAAAACCCTAAAGCAAGCTAGAGGAAGAAAACACCTTATCTATAAAAGTACAAAAATAAGAATTACACCCAACTTCTCAGAAACCACGCAAGCAAGAAGAGAATGGAGTGAAATATTTAAAGTGTTGAGAGAAAAATACCACCAACCTAGAATTCTGAACCATAGGAAAATATCATTCAGAAGTAAAGGAAAAATAAAGATTTTCTCAGATACACAAAAACTGAGGGAATTTGTAGCTAGTAGACTGGCCTTACAAGAAATGTTAACAGAAGTTCTTCATACAGAAGGGAAATAATATAGGTCAGAAACTTGGATCTATATACAATAAGGAAAAGCATCAAAGAAGGAATATGTGAAAGTAAAATAAGGACTTTCATTTTTCTTACTCTTAACTGATCTAACAGAAAACAATTTATTTGAAATAATAGCAATGATGTATTCCAAGTATACATGCTTAATTTATATATCTTATGTATGTATGTGCTTAGAATAAAGTAAAACAAATGACAGCAATGATACAAATAGATGGGAGGAATTCTGAAGAATTCTTACAAATTCTTACAAAGCATTCACACATGGGTAGTACCCATGAAGTGGTACAGTGTGATCTGAAAGTAGACTTGGATCAATTGTAAATGTACACTGCAAACTCTGGGGCAGCCACTAAAAAAGTTTAAAAAAAAAAAAAAAAAAGAAGGGGCGCCTGGGTGGCTCAGTCATTGGGCATCTGCCTTCGGCTCAGGTCATGATCCCGGGGTGCTGGGATCGAGCCCCGCATCGGGCTCCCTGCTCGGCGGGGGGCCTGTTTCTCCCTCTCCCACTCCCCCTGCTTGTGTTCCCTCTCTAGCTGTGTCTCTCTCTGTCAAATAAATAAATAAAATCTTGAAAGAAAGGAAAGAAAGGAAAGAAAGGAAAGAAAGGAAAGAAAGAAAGAAAGAAAGAAAGAAAGAAAGAAAG